CTTTTATCAAGATTAATACACTACACTTACATACTCTCCATCAGTACACTACACTTACGTACTCTCCATCAATACTCTACACTTACATACTCTCCATCAATACTCTACACTTACAGTACTCTCCATCAATACTCTACACTTACAGTACTCTCCATCAATACTCTACACTTACGTACTCTCCATCAATACTCTAAACTTACGTACTCTCCATCAGTACACTGCACTTACGTACTCTCCATCAGTACACTGCAATTACATACTCTCCATCAATACACTACACTTACATACTCTCCATCAATACACTACACTTACATACTCTCCATCAATACACTACACTTACATACTCTCCATCAATACACTACACTTACATACTCTCCATCAATACACTACACTTACATACTCTCCATCAATACACTACACTTACATACTCTCCATCAGTACACTACACTTACATATTCTCCATCAGTACACTACACTTACATACTCTCCATCAATACACTACACTTACATACTCTCCATCAATACTCTACACTTACATACTCTCCATCAATACTCTACACTTACATACACTCCACCAATACTCTACACTTACATACTCTCCATCAATACTCTACACTTACATACACTCCACCATTACTCTACACTTGCATACTTTCCATAAACTTTAAGGCTTGCAAAGCAAACTAGAGTTTAGTAATTATGATAAGTAAAATCAGAAACTGACCTAAAACTCCAGAAACAACGTATGACAGCTATTTTACTATGAGTGTTTTATCAGAGACTCAAGTAGCATTTTACCGACAACAGTTAAAATACTATGCTTTAAATAAAACAACTTATTCTTTCATTTTATTCATTCTTATGAAGAACAGGGATTTGAGGCATTTTTTATATATATCCATGCTTGAAATGCTTGTAACAATGAAATTTTATTTGTTGAAATGTAGTTAAAAACCTATAAAATGCAATGCATAATTAATGTTAAATGTGTGACAGAATAGTCATTAGTTACAAAACAAAATGCTAGCATAAATAAAAGTGTGTAATCTTCCTCAATTGCCAGCTGTAATTAGTTTCAATAGCTAAAAATCAATACTAACTGCCAATCAGAGCAAGCTACTTAGAGTTGTAATTAAAAATTAACCTTGTAATGAGTGTAGTATATTAAATGTACTTTTTTTTTTACAATCCTAATTATAAAAATTAGAATGCATTGTTTTATCAGTTAGGTAGCTTTGCTGTTCATAATATTTTCAGCCCTTCTGCAGGATAAAAGCTTTATTAATAAAATTTACAGTTTACCTCAACACTTTTACTTAAACTATGTATAAATTGTTTTAAAATACCTACAAAATTCTTGTATTTTCGTATGACAAACTACAGAAGCATCTTCCCCATGTTTGCCATTACAACGAACAGACTATATGTGCATCTAAAACCAATTACGCACCTATGAGTTTCTAAGAACTTACTTGCAATTTGTGTTGCATGAATACATAGAAATTGTAAACTAGATTTTTGCTAAAGAGAAGACAAGATAAATAAACTTACCAACTCGCATTCCAAGGTCACTGAAATTTAATAAATAAATTTTAATTTTATATTAAGTACAAATTTCAATACTATATATATATACAACTGAAACTATTATTTAACACCAAACTAATCAGAGTCAATGGTACTCTTCCTAGTTAGCTCAATATTGTTGTCATACATCAACATATGCATCAGTTCATCAGTCAGATAAAAAAGCTAGCACATCCTATGTCTGTATACTACTACTACTACTACTACCTATAGCTAGGTGGTAAATGGAATTTGCTGATTGATTAATTGTCAGGCTCATTAATAGATTACATTTAATTTATCAATTATTCTCACAAGACTTGGATTGATAGAATAACTGAAAACAGTAATAATACAAAATGCTAATTTTGATTAGTTGAGTAATATCAAGACATTAATTGATTTAATCATAAATTTTGATTAACTCTTTTGCCACAGGTATCCTTTACTCACAGGACACAAGGTTTAGTGTCTTACAATCAAAATTTTATTAAACTACTTTTTGTTTATGTTATACCAATTAATATAGCATAAAATCTTGGCTAATAATCCATATTTCAATAGTATGTAAGTTTTAAGTTATTAATTCTATAAGGCAATATTTTAAAAAATCCTGAATTTTTCCTAGTGTGGCACACATGACACATTTTCTCCAAGTATCTTCTCTATTTTATCCACCACTCCTCCAATAAGTACGAAAGTAAACGTAATTACTCACTATAAAATCGTCATTGCTCAGAGAAACCATAATTTTTATAGCCTTCAATTTTGTTTGGTTACAGAGCTATCAAATAGAAAATCAGACCCCTCCTGCCACACCCACATGTCACATCCTCTCTTTCAGGATTTGTTAATAGTTCTCGCTTATGTTTATTTATATATATACATATTACCTATAACTAATAGAAAGCCAAGGTTTTCATCTATCAAATGTCGTATTGTATAACACTGTATTCTGAACAGAGAAGCATCAATTTCACTTGTAGTACAGGTTTGGTTCACAAGGGAACAGTGACAACTAGCTTGGATGAACTTGTAATGGCTCTTGCCACATAGTTAGAAAGCCAGAAAATTTTAAGAGTTAGGGGAAATTGTCTACCTTTTGCATGTTATTAGTCTATATTCTTTGGTGCATTATCTAATTAAATAAAAATTTATTTAGTGCATTAGTACCATTAGTATAAAAAAAAGTAGGGTTTAGAGTCATCGACAATCAACAGCAAGATAAAGATGATTGGGTAAGTACTTTATTTTTTGTTTTTCATGTTTATTCTTAATTTATTATTATAAAAGTAACTAAAATGTAAAAATAGGAATCTTTTT